GCCACCTTTACCTCTATCTGCGAATGTCTCTGATGATGGGCTCGAGTGAGAACCCGAAACGTCAGGCCAATAAACTTCTTGTCCCAGTGATCGCATCTTCATCTTCTGAACTGCTACCTGGGACTCGCCTGTTCGCTTCTATGAGAAAGACTTTGTTATCATTTAGCAGGGGTGGAAGTTCGTGACCACGCTTAGAGGAGGACCGATGACGGAAGATGTTAGCGACGGATTTGCCAGGGTTCGAACCACTGAGAGCAATTGATTCTCTTTGCCTGCCGCGCGCTTGGCGCATCCTTGAGGCCATCTCAAAAATCTCTGTGATTCTACGATGAACTGATAAGGAACTAGTGGATGGGTCACGCAGCTGTCGCCTCAACTTTTTAGTCTGTTCTGAAGAAAATGAGGAACAAGGAAATCTGAAGAATTAGGCTTGAGGTATCTACGCGGCACAAACTCTAGAATGTCCTTGCAAGCATTGGACATGACATCACGAAGAATGGTTGCATCGCTACAAGAGAGGAAGCCACACCAATCCAAAGATCTAATATATTTATTTATTAAGTCGTTATCTACGCAGTCGTAGTTCATGTATGTCCGAACGGCGCTTGTCTTTTTTGAAAAGACAAGCGGTAAGCGGTTTATAAAATGCTTTACTAAGATCAAAATAACGCCAGCAGATAGATGGTCATTACGAAGAAAAGTAAGCAGACTGAGAAATGGCATATGCCATGTTTCACAAGAGCCTTCTGGTAAAAAAAACATGTTGTGAAGGACTAATAACTTGATTAGCTAAGCAAAAGTCGGCATTTTTTGGGCGATAATTTTTTGAAGGATTTTGGCGATCGAAGGTTTCTTATGGACACCTCGATAGTTTAAATAATCAGAACGACAGCCAGACTAAAATGCTGGAATAAGTATAAAAGTTTTCCAATAGTCAGGAAAGAAGCCATTTAGGAGAAGGACTGAAAAGAGTTTGCTAAGCAGAGAAGGAAAATCTCCTAGCTATTTTATAAGAGAGTTCGTAATATTGTCCGTACCTACTGAGTGAGAGTTAGTAAGACGGTTTGTCAGTTTTCGAATAGTTTTAGGAGTAAAATTAGTAAAGCTGAGGGAGGCATTGGACAACGGAAAAATTGAAGGAACTGGGTCAGTTTCAATGGTGAAATGTTTGGCAAAGAATGAATTTAACATTTCTGCTCTGCCTGACTTCTCTGTAATGAAGGTATGTTTGGTGCTAGGTAGAGGCGGACTGACTTGGTGCGATTTAGCAGATGATCTTTGACGGAAGATCTGAGGAAGTGATTTAGAAGCATTCACGCCATTAAGAGCTAAAGACTCTCTACGCCTCTCTCACGCGAGTCTCATTTCCAAACTTAATTCAAATAATTCACCGATCCTTAGGTGCGTTGGTAATCAGCTCACGGAAGGATCTTTAAGTTGCCTCCGTAGATTTTAAGTATTTTTATAAAAAAACTTGGGATAGTGCAGGCATTGGCACTAGATTATAACGTCCTCCGTGGAATTAGGTCGAGAAGACCTATTACGCATTGTGATAAAATGTTAAAAAATTAAGATTACTATTTGAAAAAAAATCTTGTACCAAAAAGAGTGCTTTTTAAATTATTTACTAACTCCTTGTTAATATTAGCAAAGTCAAAAATGCTGTGCTATACTGTTGGCTTTGCGGAAAGGGCAAGTAGGAAGGCGACAATGGATTAATGTATGATCACTTGCAAAAAGGTAGAGGGTTGAGGGTAAGATCTCGCATCCCAGGAGAACGTTCAGTCGCATTAGTGACCGAGAGTATACGTCGGCCATAAGACGCCCAGTTCTGCATATGAAAGCCACCTCAAGAGGGGAGTCTACAAATTTTGTCCACAAAACGTTTAGCGGAATCGACATCATATAAGAAGATCGGACAATCATCAGCGTGTATACTGTGGTGAAACGCTCAGCAAGTTGAATCGGAATAAGATGAATCGAAATCTTCAACAACTTTTCGTAACGCAGAGGTGGCACAAAAGGGCGACGAAATCAATCCGAATGGATGAGATGTTCACTGAACCTCAACTGGCTCTCCTTCCAGCTCGTCATTTTCCCACCACAAACATTTCAGAGCAGGTCGATTAATCGGGTCTAATTTCACTTGCAGTAACATTTCATCTATATCCCCAACCCCTGCAATACGTCAAAGTCGAGAATCCAACAACACACTTATAAACCTGGCGTTTAGGTCAGGTCTTTGGTATAGATTGTCATTCAGAGACACACCCTGACACTTGGCGGCAAGGGTGGTGCGGTAAATACCGGTGTCTCGTAACTGGAGACGCTTTGTTGCTGTTAACTCGCTCGATGTATCTCTTCTCCATGTACGAACGGAACGTTTGCTCATATTTCTGAAGTAATTCGCGCCCTCGTCCCTATTTACTGTTGAGATAGATTCGTCGTTTATGCGCCAACTGAAAATTGTCCTGTAAATTCAACGTAGCATTTCGGCAAGGGACTGACAGTTGCTAATGACCTTTTATGAATGCAGCGGAGGATCTCACAATATCCAGTTCCCGTTTGTCTTCCAAAGGATGCTTCACAATCGTTGTTTAAGTGTCCGAAAACTCCGAGTCGTATAGCCTCTTAATGTTGTGCGTTACATCCTTTTCTTATTCACAATGCAGTGACAGACAGCGTTCTGCTTTTGCCTGCCACGTAAAGATCTAAGTAACATCCAGCCCAACAGTGTTTTCACAGCGAACGGTTCCTTTATGCCACCCAGACTTTGGTCAAGTACCCAATGAGCTTCCGCGATACCATTCCCAATGGGTATGTCAACCTTGCAAACAGTGAGCTCGTCTAACATTATACCGCTCAGGTGTGGCCACAAAGAGGCTATCCCTTTAATTGATGATTCTGCACGAAGGGACGAGTCTTTAACCACCAAAGCCCTTTAAATGTCAACTGACTCGGTTCCATTGATGGGCAGCACTCGTAGACTTCTGACTTCTGGATTGCATTTAATTGAACCACTTAAGGTGTTTATTGTCAATGCTGTTGGCGTTGTGAACATTCCATTGCCGACGAGAAGCCCACGTTTAATCAGAGTGACATACGAACCACTGTCTAAAATACGTAAGTTTCGACGTTTCCTGTTCGAGTTGCCAACTTTACCCGAATAATTCCCAGTGGTGATGGAACGTCCGTAACTCCAATCCGGCACAAAACCCTTAATTATGTAATGTTCGTTGATTATTGTCCGATGATATTCCATGCTAAAGCGTACGATGTTGTTTTTTGCACAGGGACCAAACACAAAGTTCTCTGGAGCTGCACACCTTGGCAAAATGCGTATTATCAAGATAAACAAAACACGCTTTGTGTTCCCCGATATCATTCCACCGATCTGCAACATCCATCGAAAGTAAACGTGGGCAATTTGCGCTTCGTGTGCATTAGAACACATGTAAAATTGCCGTCGATCTGGTTCAACACTCGAAGTGGCAAAATTGTTAGGGTTCTCCCGTTTTTTGATGTTGAGTTGTGGCAGTTAAGGGCTGTTCAGAGCGCTTGACATCCCCATCTCGAGATATTTGTCCGAAACGACTTCTTGCTATCCTAACTCGAGTATTTACGAATCCCGTGAGGTCTGCAAAGTCCGGATCACTACCATTCATTGGTATTTTGTCAGCATCTTCAGCTCATTGGATCTGCATAAAAAACGGTAAACAGCGCGCTTTTCTTCGAAAGTATCTAATCGGAGAGACTTCCGTATCGCCCTAATCACGTTTCATCGAACGCGTCTGCATTGGTTGATATTTCTTTCCTCCACTTTATTTTGCAATTTTGAGTACTGTAGAATTCTTGGTCAACTGATTCACGCGTATAAGCCAAAAAGATTTCGATGTACATAGGCTACTATTGACAGAATAAAAAATGTACAGACTTCAACAAAGAATACCCCAGACAAATAATTATTTTGTCACAGTTCGAGCAGATCGGATTCCCAGCTCGAAGTCAAAGTACAAAAAAAGTAGTTAATTGAAAGAGCGCCGATCACGCCCAAAAGAGGGTTACAAAAATTAGAAAGGGGAATGTCAACGGCGGCCAAATATGGAATCATTTGAGAAGAGGGCGTGGAGAATTGCAAAAGTTAACCAACTGGATACAACACCACTTATTCGTCATTTGATAATGGAAAATAACGAAATGTCCGTGTTTCATGTCAGAAAGTGTGCCTCGGTAGATTTTGAGGAGATGAATTCTTTAAGATTTTTGGAATACCTGTTAGGCCGTATAAAGAGTTCAACAAAGAATCCTTGATGTAGCTCAAGAAAAGGCAGACTTAGCCGTTAATCATCAAAGTTTTATGCCGTATATAAGCCGCCTGGCCAACCAAAGTTGATTTCCTTCGAGTTATGGGCAATGTACGGGGTCCACCATCAAGCATTCTGCGCTGTGAACAGCCCAGATTTCAGCCCGGTCCTTGGTGGCGTTTTGAATCTGCGACAGCAGCCAACCTCCGAGCTTAATTTTTAAAACCAAGTTTATACGCAAAACAGGGTTTGCGGAGGTTATGCTTTGGCTTGACGATCAAACCAGGGAAAGTAAGTCTCCTATATCTCATAATACCCAAATGAAGGGGAAATTTCAAAGTAAACCTTCATAATCATATGTTCCTTATCATGTATTACCCCGAAAATAGTAAATGAGTAAAGTGCTGTTACGAAGCTTCTACCTAGTTTCTTTAATTATGGGAAGTGAGGAATAATTATTTAAAAAAAAACGGTAGGCTTCTTTTTTCACGTTTGTTTTACTGAGTTGAATTTACCGCAAAAACATAATTTAGCCAATTGCTGTTCCGCGAATGGGCTTGTACAGGAGCGCATCGTACTATTGGTACCTCTTATGCTCAATTGTCATCAGCAGTCTAATAAATAATAGGCTGCTCTAGGATGATTGAAAATGCTAATAAAGAACAGGTTTCCAACCTTCTGGAAGGACTTCAGCGCTGCCGTCTCGAAGGCCTCTATACAGACATCATTCTGTGTGTCGACGAAGAAGAATTTCCATGCCATAAAGTCATCCTTGCTGCAAGCTCGCGTTATTTCGATGTGAGATTTTCTGTTCATTTCCTTTTTTGTTTTTAATCAACCGTTAGGAGCGTATTCTATTTTTCATATTCCCATTCTTTCCAGCTAGAAAGTACAGCTCTAGCTAGAGCTAGGTAACATTTTCCCTTCGCTTGTTGCCTCTTTTATAGTTTAAACAGTACTATTTTACGTAAAGGACATTCCTTTGGTAAAAGACTGTTGTTCTAGCATGAAAAGACTTCACTTATCCGATCATACATTGCGTACCATCCTTTCGTGTATCCCGATTTATCCATCTATTGTTTATGGTCGAGCTCTTTTTGATAACGTATTGTCTTCCTCCACTGAAAATTACAGTTTTAATTTTCGCTTAAACCATTCAGTGCCCCAGAGATCGACTCAACTTGGTCTTACTCCAAATTTGCTACCCAAACGCAACTTTCTTCGCCTCCCTGATAGCAGTCTACTCGCCTAGGGCTAGCCCTGTCGCCCGGTCGCGGACCAGTGTTGCGATTGACTAGATTTTTTTAGCAATCATAGCGGACACTGTCTACACAGGGACAGTAGGTTGACGCGCCTTCTTTGACGAGCTGACGGCTTTGTAGCCCGAGGCGATTTAAGTCGCTTGTCAGGGACCTAAATTCCGGACAAAGTGCGGGCATGCACCCTGCACGCGTGCATACACGCAAAGAGACCCCCCAGGTGTGACGTACGAAATCCACTCGGGTGAGCATCGAGGAGGGGGTGTAGCAGAAAAACTCCTTCCCTCGCAGAGACCGAGCACTGTCAGCCAGTCAGGTTACTAGCGCTGCACTAGCGCGCAAGTCGAACGGGCCAGCAAATGTCTAGCCCTGGGCGACTAACAGTTTTTAACGTCACCTACTGTTGGTAACCTTAGGGTTAAGCTTAAAATATTTCCTTGCCAGGGTTGGTGCGAGTCTACCCATCCATCGCTTAATTAACAGGGTTATTTGCATATTTGACGTTCGTTAATTTGATCTTATTATATAAAAGTTGGAAGTTTATGAAGGGTATAGGTCGTAGTCAACTCCATTATTTCCTATTATATTCAATCTGGTGCAAAGACTCACTATTTTCTATCTCAACTTCCTCTGGATTGTATTGTTGTGGTAATCTCGATCTAACCGTCGACACCAGCCTTTTACACAGTCTGGTGACTTAAACACATATATTATTAAAAAAGCAAAAATATTGCATGAAGTGCCATCTCCCTGATGCCGGAGTCGCCGTCACCAGTCTTTTGGGACGCTAAGTGGCAAATCGCACGTTTTGCACTCATTTGGCCCTAATCGCAAGTTTTTGTGTCAGGGCTTCTTATCACTAATTCTTGCTGAATAGGTGTAGCTTTAGTGTAGGCGTGCCTGTTGATCCGTCGTTGCCGATATTTTACTCACCTCCTCAACTTTGGCTTTATTATGTCATGATCTTTTTGTCTCTTAACAGCTCTGTACACTCTTGCCATATTTTGCCTTTATATTTGGTGTCTATTTACAGACGATGTTTAGAATTCCACTTTCTGAGCAGAAGACATCGCGTGTATATATAAAACAGATCTCTCCGTGGTCCTTAAAACACTTGATTGACTTCGCATACACGGGCTCCCTGGCCCTCTCAACCCAGACAGTGCAGGACGTTTTCTTGGCTGCCAACCTTCTTGACTACCCGCTTGCCGTTGAAGCTTGTATTCTATTCATGAAACGTCACTTGGATATTTCAAACTGTCTCGGAGTCCAACTGCTGGCGGAAGCTTATGAATTTCCTGCTCTGGCTGAGGCAGCGCGGAAAGTAGCCGTTGACAATTTCACCCGGTTTGGTTCTTCAGTTTGACTTTTTGGCCTTGCTACTTTTACATACGCTTGCTGTTATTTTTCGCTAGTCGTTTTTTTAACGTTCTATATCGAAACCATTGTCTTCCTAAAGTAGAACTATCAGAGACTGCACAACCCCCTCGGATTCCAGTCTCTTTATCTCCCTCTTAAAAATCACACATCGAAACAGCTGGCACCGTTTATTCGTTCTAACGCGAGGTAGGTCGAACGCCGGTCTGTCTCAGTGCCAAATTTCTCATGCAAGTCACGGTTCTGCCTACCTAGTGGCGCGGCTGTGGTCTTCGTCGTTTGTCGCGGTCGATTTATAACGGTTGAAAATAGTGATACCTGTACATTTCTCTGGTTATAGTGCCCGATGTCAATTATACGAGAGTTAGTTCAACGGCTGATTAGTCTTAGATTGCACTTTCTCAGCGAGCTGCAGTGACAGCTCAGGGATGCACCGACGAATGCCTATGGAGTGTTTTCGAAACCTGGCCAGAGGTCAACTTAAGAAGGAAGTGGTTGCTTTTGTCGTGCATCGTCACAATGCATCAGTCCATGCGATCCATAAAAGTTCTTTTACTCACCACAGCTTGCAGATTTGATCCTTCCCAACCGCAGCCATGGTTTTGCTGTGCACGACCACTAGCTCTCTATTGAGGTCTAGGAGTGTTTGACACCAAAACGGAGTCCCCCTTTGCTGTCTAAAATATCTGCGTTTCCTAACAGAACTCGACTAAATATTTTTTGTCGCTTAATTAATTGACCAAAAGGTGCATTTAAGTTGAGGGATGCTATGTAGGAAGTGTTGATTTACACGTGGAAAGTTCATTAGAAATTGTGATCAAAAAACTCCTAGGTCCATTAATCTACCCACTGAACGAATTCTTTAGACAAGTGTCATCTTGGTTTTGACTGTCATCTCCAATCGTGCTTTTTGACATCGAGATCTTACTTTACTGTTTTCCGATTGAAATGGACAAGTAAAAACTAAAGACACAGTATCCTACATGATAGAAACTAGCGTGGTCTATTAAAGTGTGTTTTTCTCCCTTCTCCATTCAATTTTCTGGATAATGACAAGTGTCTTTGCGCTGAGGAGTCATATGTATGTGAAACCTAAATCAAACGCTACTTAGTACCCGCTCAGTGGTTGTTGGGGAGGGGGAATGGTATGCGTAGCAGTGAACTACACGTATAAAGGGATGCTGAGACACGGTAAAACTAGAAATGTTTCTAAACGCGGAATCCCAAGCTCCCAAGGCATGGTTAAACAAGCCCCCCATTTTCCAAATTACAAACAACATCACCGTGGCTCCGAATACACCTTCACATAATCCGTTTCATGCGCAGACCTGTCTTCATACTTAACCTATGCAGTTTATGATGACTGAAGTTTTCAATTGTATTAAATACCTCGAGAAAATGGACGCAGAACTGCCCATGCTTTTGTCTAGGGCGACTTTATTTCTTGAATCCCTCCTCATGCACCTAACTGTTCGACAAATGAGCCAGTTAAATAGATTCATATTCGGCCGCCTCTAAGAGTCCTGCATCATTGGTGGCGTGCGCAGACCCCGTCCGTTATGATCTAAAATGTCGATTGGCGGGTGTCACTGTTTGGTCCAGTAACGTTTTGATGCCAAATGTTAATAGAAAAACATCCGCGCGTTTTCTCGTGACAATCCTTAATTTGCGCTCCTAAGAAACCAAATCAGGCAGCGTATTTCACAATGTGCTGCAGAGTTTATCTGGAGTTTTCCCTGCATCCGACCGCTGTGCATAGTTATGGTTGAGGGCGTTTTTCTGGGTTGGTAATGCTATTCTATTACCTAAGCTGGTTACTTATGCTGTCGTCTTGACTGGAAATAGGGCAATAAATCCAGCAGAACTGTTCAATATCTTCAGTAGAGAGGGTACTTTTATTCAGAACCATTTCTTATGGATCGTTTACGTGAATGAGGGTTACACAGTCCACACACATGAACTTGTGAGCCGGCAGTAATGAGTTTGGTGGGACAAAACACTGCCTCTGATTTGTCTGTTCCCAGGGACTTTCCGTTGCAGTCAAATTTTCTATGCCGCATACCCTGTCTTCAAAACGTAATCTCGACTGCCAACTACGTAGCTATGCCTGTCAGTAAACGTGCATAATTACAATGGAATATATTTCCCGTGACTTCGTGCACTGCATTAGCGAAGTTATTTAAAATGTACTTAGCAGAATAACACTACCGACAAAGACAAGGGAGACTGGAATGACCATTTCTGGCACATTGGCCGTCGCCAGCCAGTCATACCCAACCCCAAAGTTTGGAACACCTGGGGTTCGATATCGCGACCATTATTAAAACCAGCTGCCACTCATTTGGGACGCCAGCTGTTTTACGGCCTAGGTTAAATAAATTGTGTGACGAATTTGCGGGGACTGGATTGAAAAGCATAAAAAGTCTGAACTCCGGGGATATATCCTGTGATTGTCACTCTTAGTCCATACGTTTTCATCGTTTTCGGAGTTTTTATTCATCTGGGTCCTCTGTATATTGCGGGATGCCAGAAAGTGAAGCTTGAGAATTGTCCAACTATTCTGCGTTTATCTGGCTTCATTTTCTATTCCGGACCGGTCCGAACGAGCACAATTGCATGACAAGCACCGCAGACATAGGATGATCATGGCCTGAACGGGGAATGTCGTGCCAATTCTCAATCCCGTTTATTCAATTACCATATGGGTGACCTAAAAGCGGACTTAAAACGATCAGATTGTTCATTTTACACTTACCATGCCTTTTCTATCCTCACTGCTCAAAGAAATCCGTTCTTTATTGCCTTTACAACCAACGCGGACGCTTTAGGCACATGTCTGCTGATGACTGGCGTTGATTCTGACAACTTAACCTTGCAGCCTTTGAGTGTTTTTCATCACCGCTTCTGCATATCAGTCGTTCCTGTCATGTTATTACCCGTCTACTGCATTTTGCGGATTCCTGTCCTATAGTATAAGTTCGATAGAGGCTTACGACTGTAGAGACGTTGGCGATCGTTTAGGCTGGCCAAACGGATAATGAAAGACTTTGCAGTGTCCTTCCAATCTTACATATAGCTCCGTGGAAACTTCCTTTGGTCTCTCACCAAATTGATTACCTGTTCGTTTGACGTCCCCCTCTATCTTCTAACTGTAGTAATGACACCCCAACTTATGAACAGAACAGTTATTGCCCTCAATTATCTTTTTGTTTAAACCTGGAAAAGCCAATCGGCGTACAAATGTTGCCTATCTCGCGCTTTTTTATGCTGACATCCACATTCTTCCGTCTTTTTAGACTTGTTCAAGAGTCAACCGAGTGGTTGTCTTTACCATTTGCCTCCGTGGCCGCCTACTTAGCCTCTGAGGACTTAGACGTGCGCTCAGAACAGGTACTTCTCCTTTGCCTCCTTGAACCCCCGAATTAACTGAAAATGAATCGCCTCCTTCATCAGTCCTTCCATGTTCCTACAGATGGAGAAGGAGCTAGCAGTGTGTCCATGTTTTTTTTTGTCACTTTCAGGTCGTTTTGAAGGCCTGCCTTAGTTGGGTTGCTCACGATCCGGACAACCGATTGCGCTACCTTGTCACCCTTTTACACCACGTCCGACTGCACCAAATCCCCACGCAGAGACTAAAGGAAATAATAGAGACATCTAGCGTCCTTCGGGTACGTTGCTGTTGTTATTGATTTCATATCCGCTTTCCCTAACTGTTGAGAATGCTCGGCGGTGCTCCCATCGGCGACTCTTGAGAGTCCGCCAGAACAGTGAAATCTTCATTGTAATTAAGGTTAGTGATCTTAAGGTGGTTTTCCAAAGTTGCTGCTGGACTTATTGATCTGTATTGATGTTTAACTAGACAGGCTCATCTGAATGTCAGTCACTAACAAGAGGCAACGACGGACAGGTAGTACCTCTCTTTCTAGTGGCACTTGAATTTATTAGTCAAAGTTAAGGTTAGATCGCAGTTGGTAGCCAGGAGTGAGGAGGCGGACGGCGACCTTGATCCTAATCTTAACCTTAAGCCCAACCCTAATCTCAACCTCAAACGTTTACCATTAACCTTAAAGGCAACCCTATCCTAACCCTGACCGAAATCGTAAAATTAACCGTAGTCCTTAGACATGGCCGTAACTGGAAAACCTAACCGTAATACTGAAACCTTATCGTACGCTCAAACCCTAATCGTAACCCGAAAACCTAAGCCTAAAGGCATAACCCTAACCCGAAAATCGGAAGTCGTTAACCGGCACACAACTCCTAACCTCAAACGTAAAACTGAAGCCAAATGGGGCAGATGTGATTATGGAACCCCACAAAATAGCCCCAGGAAACAAACCCCCCAAGCCACTTGCAATACAGGGCCTGGCTACCAACTGCGATCTTGCCAAAGTTATTTCACCTTCCATCCTGGATAAGCCTCGTTCGACGCCCTCTACTCGCTAAAGTAGTCGTTCAATTTAGCTACCTTTTACTGGGCAGACGTGTTATGCAAAGCTCGTCCTGGGCTGATATTGTCGGCTTCTGAAGGATGCAGATGGGCCTGACTGTGTACGATTCCTTCCTATTTAGCAATGTTCTCCTTCTGAACAAAACTGCCAGCAGGTTTTTGTCCTCCAACCTATTTGTCAGGCGGTACCATGGGCATATGCGTGGATCTCTTCTTAGTAAATTACCCCCTAGTTAGGTTATCTTCAAACTATCCGTTCTTTCTTTGCTTATTATACTTTCAAAGGCCTCTTCTACTTTTTACGTTCTCCCGTTGCTGCTACCGCTTACTCCCTTTATCCTCGTCTTCCCCTGTGTACATTTCTTCCAATTCTCTGCGACAGGACTGCTACACCGCCTGCGAGTACGCGGAAACTGTTCTGAAGGCAAAGTTGTCCTCTGTCTCCCCCACCGCATCGCAAGTAACCGACCTGGACAATAACTCCAATTCGACCTCCACCGGCACCGACGTAGGTCAGGACACGTCACCACCACCAACGGACCCTGTGGGCGCTGTTGCGTCCCTGGCCCCACCGCGACCGGCCACTGTGAAGCGGGACACGCTGATTGTTTTGGGCGGCATCAACTCATACATACTCGACTCTGTGGAGGCGCTTTCTTTCTCTAAGAGCTGTTGGTTGCCCTGTCCCCGCCTACCCACTGACAGTCTGACCTGCTTCTCCGCCATCGTAGTGGACAACACCCTCATCGTCACCGGTGGTATTCGGGTTCGTTCTAGTCCAGTCATTTAGTGCGCGCGCGTGTGTGTTTTGTTCCCGAAACGGGCGACCTGGTAGATACGCTTGACCAAAAAAGAGACCAGATCAGAGTCCGACGGGCGTTATTGCGAATACGCATCCATAACAAATGCCAGAATTGGGGTATGGTGGTCGCCCATGTGCTGGCCATCGCCGCACCGACTGGGATCCGTGCCACCCCCTATTTTTCTTGTAGCATAAAGTCCTAGTCAGTGTACTCTGTGGACCAAGGGGTGCGGTGGTACGCCTAGGTACGGTTGTTCGCTGTGTCAGCCACCTGCGCCCACTCTCGCCCTCAGTTTTCTTGACGCTGTCTTGACATTGGGTCAAGGTGGGGAATGAGGAGAGAGTGCGGCAGATGCTGCACAAGTCTGCTATCACGTTAAACTAATTCACGCGCATGTCACTGTGCCTGCTGCACCTTGGTGTGTAGTGCACGCTGGACATCATCGGTCACGACGGTGCTGTGCTAGTTCTGTTTAAGTGGATCTGCCCTTTTCTGAGATAGTTGTATACATCTCGTGCACGTAAGACCTGCCCTGATCAGAATAAAGCAAGGTCATATTTCACGAAGGTAGAAAGCGTTTTGATGTTTCTGCCAGATTACCTTTATGAATCAACCTCGTGTCATACGAAAAGTCCGATTTTTTTGTTGTCTTATGGTACCGGAAGCAATACGGACAAAGACAAAGGAGGCTGGAATGGTCATTTCTGACTTGTTAGCCATCGTCGGCCAGCCTTACACAACCTAAATTTGCAGGGCTTGCTTTATTTTTGGACAGAAAATCCTAGGTGGTGGTGGTTCAACCCAAGGTTGACTTTGAGTGGGAAACTGGCCTGGAATTGAAGTCAAGGTAGACAGCACAGCAGGAGAAATGGTAGAACCAGGTTTAGCAGCAAATTTGTCGAACGTTCTACCCACTATCCGACGTTGGAACCATGGACGTCGCAGGGGTTGGTGAGATAGCCTAGTGTGTTCGCTGCCAGGAGTATTCTTCAGGACTATTTCTTAATCTACGAAGACTGACAAACTTGTCAAACGTATAGCATTGAAAAAAAGACACGATCACCTTACGGGTAGTTGTGTTTCCCTGAGCATCCGGACTCGTACAGAAACTACGAAAAACCGGTAGCATACCTGCAGTTTTGTAGTCTGGAAATGCGTGAAAGGTGTTGGGGCTATGCGTCCGCTTGGGCTGCAACCACGCCGCCACGCTGTATGCGTCTCGGGCTGAATGGTAGTCGTAGATAATACTATCTTCATTGAATGTCCGGTATTACAGTCGTAACCGTTCGCACTGGAGAGTCTACAGGATTAGCGTATGTCCCTACTGCTACAACTTAATATTTCCGACCAAGTAAAGAATCGAAAAAGGCGCTATTCCAGGAACCATATCTAGATAAGCCTGCTGTTTCGAACGCGCAGCATCCACCGTCGCGTGCAATACTGACGTCGCGCCATAAAAGTATTGGACATTACGGTTGTTCCTTTTTTGGGGATTAAGGCGACGCCCCTTTCATCAGGAACCCCAGGGTTAGAGAGTTTCGTCATAGCGATTACTTTTTAGGGCGGGGACGTGACTTTTCATTCTTTTAGGGTATCTAAAAACCTCTAAGTTCTGACAGATCACGGATAGAGTCTTGTTCTTCTCTCATGTCTTGAAATGACTTTGCTGTATTTTGAATTATCTATGAATAGAAGGCATCCAGTTTCCCAGCCTACGGCCAGGGCAAGCAAAACTAATGCTCCAGGTCACTTTTGAAAACCATATCTTCTAACTCTTCTTTATTCCGGCAAGTCGCCGCTTGCTGGCAAACTTGGGTATGTGTCCCCTCTCTCCCCCTCAGGCAGGACACCGGAATAGGAGCCCTCGTAATACAGGTGACTTTGTGCATAATTCTACGGAAGGTATTCTTAGGGCGGGGTTAAGGTTAGCGTTAAGGTTGTAGTCATGGTTAGGGTTAGGACACAGAAACGAGTTCCATTTCTGGAATTTAGCGCAAGGCCATCTGTATTACGGGGGAGTGGGAACGTTCCCACTCTCGTGTGTTGCAGGGAGGGAGGGGGACGCATAAACAACCCCTACCCAAGCTTAAGTGACTAAGGGCAAAACAGCTTGGTAAGTTATGACAGTGGGCGCTCACCGATCAGGTTAAGGAACATACTCGTTCCGTTGTGCCTTGGGTCTCACACTGGAACCCTCGCAGGCACTCGCACAGCGACTAGTAATAGACGTAGTTGAGATGGTGATGACGGCTGATAAGCCAGAAATGGCCATCCGGTCTCCCTTGTCTTTTTCAGCACCATCTCAGCTTGATAAGTACTATCAGTCCTCACAATTGATCCCTGCCCACTCGCAGCGACTTAGGTTTACAAGCTCATGAGTAGCTGCCACCGTCTTTCCGGGGAGCTGTGAGTGCAGTGCGTTCACAATGACTTACTTTAAACCCTCCGATGAGCCAACTACCTGTTCATCCGGCTGTATGGGCCTGATCAGTTTATAGGAGTCAGTTATCTTCACTGACTTGGACGACTTTGTCAAAGACACTTTCGATCTCATAAATATGCTACAATACTACTGAGTACGCCTCTGCTCAGTCGGGAGCGCCTAAATTTGATTTAGCCGCATCATTTACGCCTATTCGATGCATACAATTGGTAATTCGTCAAATGGAGATGCAAAGATGGCGTTCTAATGATCTAGGCATGAAATCTTTCTGGCCCTTTGAGTTACCAGTCAACGAACTAGGTCATTTGACTTCGTGACCACTAATATTAGTCTATTTTGATCCTTAGGACTTAGTAACCTCGCGGCCTCCCCATAGTTGCCTTTGCTCTTCTGTCACCTCTTTCTCCCCCCACGCCCGAATTCGGCCGAACCTCCGTTGCAGAAAGTTTTAGTTTTAATCGTTCTATGCAGCGACAAATATGCTGACAGGATTTTCCTAGAATCATGTTAGACTCTTCCCCTTTCGTTTACTTTAGGCTGGCACCATCGTGTCTTCTGTTTACCGGTATGTGGTAGAAGACAACGCCTGGACGGTTGGGGCAGACATGTTACAACCGCGTGCGCGTCATGCCTCGGTTGCCATCTTGAACTCCTTACTCTTCGTCTTTGGTGGAGTAACCATATCGTCACGTTCTGATGCCGCCGCCGTTGCATCGCGTCTCGAAGAGGCAGACTCAGTGGCTGGTAATCTGTCGGAAAATGCGGACGCTGCTGACATCTTTGATGCCAGCGCCGTGCCTGATCTGTCACTAGTGGAGACGATCGACTGCTACGATGTCCGACTCGACCGCTGGACTACAGTTGGCCGCTGTCGCTCCCCGAGACAGGGCTCTTCCGTTGTGGTTATCTCGAACACCCCCTCCACGCCTTCAGATGATTTTTGCCCACTGCCAACTCACAAAGACAGCTGGCATGCCTCAGAGATTGATCAGTACTTAGGTATCTTCCCACCCCGCACCATATATATATATATCAACTGGAGCGAAAATGCGCGCCCCAGAGATAAATGAGAAGAGTCGATCACGGGAACCATAGGTTTAATGGCCTGACGTCTCGAAAGCAGAGAAGCTTCCATCGTCGGAGGTGTGTTCTGTACAGCGCCTCACAGTATTCATGGGTGCTGAGCATGCCGGCGTGCTGTAATTCCTACTGCTATCCCTGCGGGATTCACCGCATGGGGGAAGGATTTAATTGCTGTCATGCTGGTCGACGTCTTTCCCCCTCCCCTCGTCGAATATTAGATATATGGGCCACGCACAACAAATGTGGGCAATGCAGACGAGGTCAATGACCGCTACCATCCAACACCGCATCCCGACGAGGAGAGGGAGAAAGACATCGACCAGCATGACAGCAATTAACTTCTCCCCCCCATGCAATGCATCCCACAGGGATAGCAGTAGGAATTACAGCACGCCGGCATGCTCAGCACCCATAAATACTGTGAGGCGCTGTACAGAACCCACCTCCGACGATGGAAGCTCGTCTGCTTTCCAGACGTCAGGCAATTAAACCTATGGTCCCCGATGCATATGCATGTATACACTTCATATTACTCGTAGTACAACTTGTTTGTAGAATGGGCATTACGTGGTTATTCCGCAGCAGTCGGTTGTCTCCGACCCAAATATTCTTTGAAATTTCGGTTCTGACCCTTAAAAGTCATTTCCCGGCGACTTAACTCATGTCCTGCACTGAATAATTTCTAAAATTAATAACTTGATTATTCTCTGGAGTTCATATACCAGAAACCGCATACAGAACGCTGGGGGTCCCACCGAAGAGCCGAATCCATCGCATATGTGTCACACAGCGGCAGAATATCGGCGAAACACGTGTCTGGGCTTTTAGTTAGTACCTATGTCGGGAGTACGGTATAATACGTTCGATGTGTATATGTATATACACGGGTAGGGGTGGGGGAGGGGGAGGGGGAGACGCTCACCGACCGTTTTACGGAACTCATTCGTTCCGTTGTGCCTTAAGGGCTCTCTCTCGAGCCCAACCAGCAGCCGCACAGCGGCGCGTGATATAGGCGGAATAGCATTACCGACAAAGACAAGGGAGACTGAAATGGCCACTTCTGGCTTATTGGCCGTCGTCAACCAGTCATTCCCAATCCCGAAGTGTGGAACACGTGGGGCCCAATCCCGTGACCTGTTAGTTAGAAGTCCAACGCCACCAACCACTGAGTCACGGGCTCGTTGTCCTGTCGGCTGCGATCGGGGATATACATTGGTAGGTAATGGTATTCTGCCCATATCATGCGCCACTGTGCGGTTGCTGGTTGGAATCGAGAGAGAGAGCCCCAAGGCACAACGGGATGAGTGCGTCCCGTAAAACGATCGGGGAGCCCTCCCCACCCCTCCCATTGTATATTTCAGTTGATGTCTTTTAACAATTACAAACGTGCCATCAAAATAACGCACCCATAATTGGGGATTAACTAGTAATAGGGCGATAGTCTCTGATTTCTGCATCGTCACTTCTGCGAGAAAGCCAGAGATCGGTGATTCCATAGGGGCTCCCATCAGCTGTTGGTAGTATCCCTGTGCAAGGGAAAAGTTCGTTTCCAGACCTAGGTCCGAGGGTTCTAGCAAAACAGATGCAGGAATATCTGTGTCGTAGGACTGAAGACGTTCTTCAGTACATTTTCTTGCTAAATTCTGTGGTATGGGTGTAATTGGAGAGACGACATCAAAGGATACCATTATTTCATCTGCTGCGATTCTCAGGGGAGAACGGACATTTCTGGAAATATAAGTATAAGGAATCGGACTTTTTGGGGATGAAACAACGTTTTATTGCGTAAGTTGCCATAAACGGTTTCCCAGCTCGTCAAAAATACGGGCAATTTGAAAATATGCATGTATATGCATTTAGGGAGTACGGACAAAAACAAGGGAGACTAGAATGCCTATTTTCAGCTTACTAGTCGTAGTCAGCCAGACATACCCAATCCCAGAGTTGCGGCATCTGAGATTCAAACCCACGTCCTTTGGTTATCGAACTGTCGTACAGCAGATGTACTATCTCATGAACTATCGACCGAAATCCTGAAACGCATTTTTGTCTCGAAAGGATTACGTAAGTAGAGTTGTAATATGAATTGTCATGCAGCGTAGTTCTAAGATATTTGCGTCACAACAGCATTTCGGCTTTTGAGTGAGCTTCTTTCCAGCCGCCTGCAAAACATACATTCTGTGAAAAATGACTACCTAAGTAGTATGCATATTTCTATCGGCTTTCGATGCCCTTATAAATCCAATTATATTTTGCAGTAAACATGCAGGAAAGTATTCCTTCTTGTACTCATTTGGTAGCAAACTACTTCTTCAAATTTTATATTCAAAGAAAGGGTATCTTTCATCCTAAAACTTTTTACTTACGAGATTTTTTAAGCTTAAAATGTCCATCCATAGAGTATCGCATCAACACGTTCACTTGTGTTACTCATCAAGTATACAACTTGGTCCACATCCATTGCACTGGCACTGAGACCAGATGACGTGGGTGAGGCTGCAATGCCCACCCCCTCCTTGAATGTGGCTGTTATGGCATTCTCGCCAACATGAGATGAGCGGCCCGCAAATTGTCCGGTGCATGTGCCGTTAGGACCACTTCGTGTGCGTGTCACGCGTATTTGGGCTGTCAGACAGTGAAGCGACGCCCACCTCCGATTATCTTGGCATTGTCTTGCCTGAAAAAAACATGGTGGCCACGGGCGGGGAGTGTGCGGTAGGTGCTGTGCAAATCTGTCTCATTAATATTCGTGCACAAATCACCGCCGTTGGACCCACTCCTTGGGGGTGCAGTGGACATCGTCGCTTATGACGAGCGAATTGTCATAGGTGCGCCACCGTAAAATACTAAAGCGGATGTGTCATGAGCGGATTCTCAGTAATGGAAGTCCCGGAAAGAACCAGCATTCTCATTATCCACTCCACCCTGAGGCCGATACATCCATGTTGGAACGGCCACTGTGAGGATGGGTGACGAGCAGTTGCTCAAATGGTTATTTAACAGCGACGTCCCTAGGGGTGTTCGCAGATTGGATGCACTGAAGCGTCATTACACGGATACACTAGATTTCGCTCAAGCATTCGCAGATCAATCGTGAGACTTGGGAAAACCTCGCGCAGACTGGACAGCCGTGGTGCACTGTCGCAAAACTTGAACCACAGTTTGCAAAGCCTTTCCCTTGTAAGGGGCTAAAACGAAGAGGGAAAACACAGATCTCGAATTCCACGGATCCTCGCTGTAAAAGCCGATTAAAATGCTCGAATTGCCAACCGCTGTTCAGAGCACGCATCAGAGCCGTCCGGCATCCTAGGCTCCACCATCATATGAGGCCCTCAATTAGCCACTCCCCTCACAGCGTGGTCAAAAACAGCAACTACTCAGACGTAAACTCATCCATCAACTCTGTCATTCTCCCCACCGCTGCCAAAAGCACCAGCGGCAATTTGGACTCAGTTTTAACTTGTTCCGTTACGGCCGCGCATCCAGATCACGCATCAACCTTGTCAGTCACTTACGGACTCATCACGCTATGACATTCGAATCAGCGCCACTGCCCTCAACATCCACTTGCCTACACTGTCCCATGGCATTCAGTTATTCTACGCGCCCATTCAAGTATTTGCACATCCATAAAAACCCTGGGTAAAACACTACGCTCCAGACTGTATCACGACACCTTGTCCTGCCCTCATACCTCCCAACCCTCTGGCTACACACCAACCTACTTCACTGCACGGGCATACGTAACAGAGCACTGCGATTCACTTTGCCAGCACCGGTATGGCGAAGGAAGGGTCGCATTCAAGAACATGCACTTAAGTGTAACTCGGTATGTGCAATGGGTGTGTGTGTGCGCGTGATAAACGCAGACGGGCTGTTCAGCCCTGCGTCCACTTCCATCGTCAGCCAGTTGACAGCCTGTTGGCACCTGGGAGAGGGAAGGGAGGAAGGACGACACTGGGATAGCCATCTCTAAGCTAGTTCATGCATGGCCAAGTGGTGGTTTTTGGTTGGATCTCCTTTCAGTCGCCTTCGTAATTCACACTTGCGGGGTAAATCAGTACTTGGATGGTGTGTTTCTTGTCCGGTTTTCAGTGCATGCTCGGTATTTCATCTGAAAGAGCCGCCGTTCTCATTACTTTGCTATTTCATCATTTTATTTGTTTGCAGTTTATTTTTGTTACTATTTCATCGTATTGCTTCGTTTTTTATTTGTGGGAAGGGAATATCATAGTTTTCAAAGCTTTCCAAGGTTTTTCTACATACCTCTTAGTAACATGGGCGTTACCAGTTCCGTTTAAGGTTTCAAAACTGCGCTTTTTGCACTAGCAGTCCAAAGCGATCGCCTCGTTAGTAAATGTGCACGTGTTAAATGAGGGTTTTAGAACCCGAAAGTTATCTTTTTAAAATTACAGACTGTAAATTACTATGTGTTACGTAACTCACGAAATGTGCGTAAATGTACGATAAATCCCGAATTAATAGGAGACTGGCCCAGCCAAATCGACCAAAACTCCTACTTAATGGCGAAAAACCTTCATGTAGATGAAAACGTCGGAGAAACATTGAAAGTAATATTACTTTGGCCAGAAATAACCATTTTTAGTTAAAAACGGGAATGCAGAAAACACTAAGAATCACTTCAAATTAGCTAGCTCCATTTGTCGAAATACTTAAGTCATGTCACCAAAATTAACTGCATGAGCAAAATAACATCTAATTAAAAGATTGTTTACGAGTTTCCTTCAAGAATGAGTCTACTATAAGCATGGCAGCCAGTCAACTGCTTAGTGTGTGTTTATGTGCTCTGAAGTGGAATTAGGAGAACTCGACACATTTTCTCCCTTTTTGCATTATCCGCGATGCGGCTGACGGGGAGTCCGCCCTATTTTGTGCATAGGAACATGATGAAAATAAGTAATTCCATAAAGACACGAGTTGACAGGCCGGTCAGTCGCTAAAATTGGGATAGAATTGGCAGATGCACCCATAAGCATTCCATTTTCTGTGAATAAAGAGGGCTTTTCTTCCGAAGGCGGAGTCCGTCTTGTTTCCTAGCATCTTTGAATACTTTGCGGTTTTAACTGTTTTTCGTCGACTGCCTGCAAAAGTAAGCTTTGCAGTTTTTCTATCAAAACAGTTCTTCAATGCTTTTACTTGTGCTGTGGGTTTTTAGGGTTGTACAACTAATTAGCCTGCGGTATACTTCTATAATAATTCAGTAACCTCATGATGCCGGCTTTCGAAAGAACTTCCTTCTGGCTGCATGCGAAAACTATACTCTGTAAAAAATGACCACTTAAGTAGCACGCAATTTTCTCTTTGATTTTTGATGCCTCTAAAAGTCCAATTACATTTCACGGAAAACATGCACAAAATATTTATTCTTTTGCTCATTCGGTAAAAAAATTACGTCTTCTTGCAATTTTATACTCGAAGGAAGGATATAATTCGGTTTTCAAAAACTTCAAATTCCCGAATAATTTTGAACCCGCTCTGCCGTCCCATTTCCATTCAGGGTTTCCAAACTGCAAGCCCTGCATTTGGAGGAGACCATATGGGGTTCATGAAATTTAGCATTAGATTTGATCCATATTGTTAACTTTACGAGCCACATTGGTAAATGCATAGACATGACGTTTTATGAAAGGACATTTCAGGGTATTAAAAAGTCTCACATTTAGAAACTTGTTTAAAACCGAACTATGTCCTTTCTTCGAGTATGAAATTGAAAAAAGACGTTATTTTCTACTGAATGAGCAAAAGAACGAATATTTTTGTGCGTGTTTTCCATGAAATATGATTGGACTTTTAGAGGCATCAAAAATCAAAGAGAAAATTGCGTGCTACTTAAGTGGTCATTTTTTACCGAGCATAGTTTTCGTATGCAGCCGGAAGGAAGTTCTTTCGAAAGCCGGCATCCTGAGGTAGCTGAATTATTATAGGATTATACTGCAGGTGGATAAGTTTTACAACCCTACTTAATTAATCTTTTCGAAACGAAAACACATTTCGGAATTTCATTTGACATTTCATGAGTTTGCTCACCAACTGTACAAGTCACCGTCCCTGCATCTATTCTGCTGCGGGACACGCGGTGGACATCGTCGGGTTAAACGATCGAACATTTTGATTTGAAAAAAGGAGGTCTTTTGGCCTCTAAATCATTCACACATTCCCGTATTAAATCAGAAACAATCGGCTGTTGCGCATGCACCGCGGAGTTTACAAGTCACGCGCTGTGCGTTTCCCATTTAAACCATGTCTTGCAGTTTTTCATGCCATATAAGAAGAGGCGGTCTAGTATTCAAGACCTGTAACGGCTCATGGTTCACTTTGTTTACTCCAAAAACGGCACTATTAGATGTGCAGGTACTGTACCACCTGGTAAGTCGTTTCAACGTTCCAAGATCTCTTAACATCTACAACCGTTTTAAGTCCGACAGATGTCCATCCCTCAGATGATGCCATCTCGACGGGACTTAATTTCCTGCAAGATAAGTACAAAACCTGAGTGTTCTGTGCATGCTTTTTGCAAAGTATGAATGGATTCACACTGAGGTGGAGAAGCAGCAGAGCTATGTGCACCACTTGCGTTGAACTTTCCAGCCAGCGTAATTTTCGACAGCTGGAAAAGTTTCTACCTAGAAGCCAGTATTCTGGTTTATATGAAATGACCTGGCACAATGTTGTATGACAATCTATAATCAATTGTGTAATTCATATTGACCCAACTGTGAAAAACTCGGCGCCTCTGTTGGATTTGAACCCACGCAATAAGGGGAAGGTTTTAGTACAGCAAACGCTCTAACCGCCTGAGCTACGAGGCCCCGCCGGACGACGCGAGTTTAATCACATTTGGGTCAAGTTACCCGCCCAACCTACTGCAACGTCTGGAATCCACCAAATCTGATGCAGTAAGTTGACTGCCCAAGTAGGATTTCCTAAGTAATTCACCTAGAATCCACCAGATGACTACCAGGCTCGCGTAATTCATTGATATTTTGGCAGATTTTGATTAATTCATATTGACCCAACCGTGAAAAAATCGGCGCCTCGGTGGGATTCGAACCCACGCAGTAATTATTCAAAATCTGCCAAAATATCAATGAATTGTGTAATTGTTTGCCATACTAACAACACAGGGTATTAGCAAAAAGCCCAGACACGCGTGCCTCGCCGATCTTGTGCCGCTGCCTGACGCAGCTGTGAGGAGTTCAGCTCATCAGTGGGTCCCCCAGCTTTCCCCCTGTGTTTTCTGGTATATGAACTCCAGTTTCATTCTGTCTTGTTGAATTTCCGAGGAAATTAATGCGCGAACTTGGAGTAAATTCATTGGACTAAACCTTTTCAATCATATTCATATCAGCTTTCGGACCATGCCTGAAAAGGTCCGTTGCGAAGAATTTACTCCAAGTTCACGCATTAATTTCCTCGGAAACTAAACAAGGCAGAATCCATAATCACTGTCCTTTGTAAGTTAATACGGCGGCCTCTCTGCTGCATGTGAGATCCGGACACTTCACCTCCTTTGTGTGAAATGCTAGTAAATTGTGTGTGTGTGTGTGTGTGTGTGTGTGTGTGTGTGTGTGTGTGTGTGTGTGTGTGGGATGCCAGGTCCTGTATGTGACACTCGCAGACGAACTCCAGCTGTGAGCCACTGCACCCCCATCAAACAACTTACCAACTCAGACAGTGTACTGAGGACTGAGAGTAGGAAGAGAGAATGAGGTCGACTGTCTCGGCGGATATTCTTCACTACAAAACAAATTGACACTTTTGAATCTGTCACGGCACGCTGAAAGCCGTGTCTTGAAAGGTTGGCAACTGATGGGATAACTCGCAGTCAGCCCAGCTTGTTTGTGTGCAGTGACCGACTGTTGGTGTGGGAGTCAGGCTGCAGTGGTTTCTTCCTAATATGGCCTCAATATCACGCCCACCCAGTGGGACCCGAGCCGGTTTGGTGGCACACGCTAGGGTGCGGCTCCTTCCGCCACGCCAGCCACCTACGCCCTCTCTCGCCTCAAGTCTTCTCGACTCTGTCTTGACATCGGGCCCAGGTGGGGGAGGAGTACGGTAGATGGAGCGCAATTTAGAGAGGTTGACTTGCGAGCCACCGTCCTTGCGTCGACCCTGCTTTAGAGCACATGGTGGACATCGTCGGCAACGACGATCGACCTGTTGTTGCAGTATTTGAATTTACAAGTAGAAAAACGAGCTGGCAGCTTCTATTCAGCAAGCGTGGAGTCCATCGGTTGAGTCAGAAGTCGAAAGTCTGGTTAATAACAGGGATAAGCACTGTGTTGAGACTCTGAGGTGAAGTGGAGGCCACACATTCTTCTAGACTCAATGACACTATGATGTGAATGACCGTTTAGTTACGTGACAGCCATGGTCTCATCATTCTTATAACCTGCTCCACAACTATAAAGCCGTCTGTTCTTTTGACAGAAAAAAACCTGTGATTCAAACCCAAATTATCCGATCATTGAACATTTCGAAGTCAAACGTTCACGGGCTCTTTACCTTATCCACTGTGATCGCGAATTTAAACTATGGTTGAAAGGGCGTTCACCAATCGGGTTACGAGCGTGCTTAAATTCGGGTTCAAATACCAGATTATTCAGAATTGGTGTTGAATATAGCTGATTATAAGCCGAAAATGGCCATCCCAGTCTCCTTCGTCTTTGTCGGTGTCCGTATGCGAATGCCTACCAGGGCTCTCGGTTGGGTCCCAGGGCGCAACGTGCCGAGCATATCTCGCAGTCTGTTCGGTGGACGACTTTCCTATGATATGATAGTTCGATCATCGCTTACGACGATGTCCATCGCGCGCCCCACAGCACAGTTGGCGCAAGACGGCGACTTGCGCTGCAGCTACCACACTCTCTCATCCCATACTCGCCGGACCCCCATGCGCAGGTCTGTTATAGTGATGACAACATCTACCACACCCTGTCTTCCCTCACCTAGTAGAAAGACAGGGTCTGGGCGGTCAAGGGTGAGCATCCCGTCTACGTGCGCCGCATACGACTTAGTCCACTGCACGATGTCCTGGGTTTTCACAAAATTAGGGACGATTCGGATCTCACGTACATGAAGCGACGCTAGAAGAGGGCCACTGACCTCGACTCTTACTTTCCGAGCCAGTCACCCCCTCACAGGACAATTTAACCGTCGTTGCCTACCATGTCCATCGTGTGTTCCACAGCAGGATGGAAGCAGACATGGTGACTTGTGCGTGAGTTAGTTTATAGTGAGAGTGTGGTAATGTGGTCGTGTCTGCGGTGATTTACCGCAGGTTTTTATTAATGTGCATGTGACCCAGTAGGCGAATGAATGTGCGTGGACAGTTGATGCGGATGCGCCGAGTGTATGTGGATGCCCCAGACACTGGTTTGCCAGTCTCTGTGCGACGGATTCGCAAGTGACCCAGTGGGCCGATGTGTGGGGCGAATGTGCGGGGGCAGTGTGGGCAGGATAGGTCGGGGGGGTGTCAGAGCCGGTTTCAACGGTGCTGGTTGTGCTCGTGGGCGCACTGGGCGACGGGATTGTGATTGAGCCAGGCATGGCGGGTGTGCGAGGCTTGTCGATACTGCGTTGGATTCCGCTGTCGTGGATACGCCTGTGACCGAGTAGACCCACGCGGTGGATGAATGTGCATGCACGGTGAATGCGGATGCGACAAATGTATGTTGGTGTTACAGGCACTGGTTCGCCAGTCACAGTGCGATGGATTTGCAAGTGACCTACCAGGCCGATGTGTGAGGTGGATGTGCAACCTCAGTACGGACAGGTTGGGGCAGTCCACATCGCTGGAGCTGGCGGTGTTGGTAGTGGCGGTAATAGATGATGGGACGTCGGATGTCGTCCCATCGATGAGGAAAGTGCGAAAGGTCGTGGTTATATGGAGCTGGTCGCTGTGATTGACGCAGGCCTTGGAACAGAGCGGATAATGTCGCTGATTGATGGCAGCGAGGCCTTGACAGTCTGATTACTGGCGGCGCGAATGGTCGTCGTCGCGGATTTTGCGGCAGGGGCGAGAGTGAGTGAAGAAGTTGGCGTTGTCTGATCACTGGTGTATTGCGTCCGAAGGTGTCCTACGAGACCGATCCCCGCGTGGAATGTGAGTTGACAGCGCGGGCATGTTGAACGCAACTGACTGTTGATATTGGGGAGTCGAGGCACTTGAGACTTAAGTCTCCCTTTTGGCTTTGGCGGAGGCGATCCGACTTGCCCCGTAGATGGCTGCGCCAGTATTCACCTCTCTTCTGCATGCCGTTCGGTGCCGGGTTAGGTCTTTCCAGTTTGCCGGGTTGATCTGCAGGCCCTTCGTGGAAATTCTTAGACTGTCTTTGTGGCGCCGAACTTGATCTTGTCGACAAGAGCCCATAGCGACATCTCCATAGAACAGTCGTTTGGGTAGCCGCTCATCGTCCGTCCGTGCGAGGTGGCCGCTCCAGCGCAGTTGCAGTTGCCTCAGCATGGTGTGGATGCTGAGGATTCCTGTCCGTTCCAGTGCTTCTGTATGCGGAGTCTGGTCTTGCCACCTCAACTTTATTATTCGTTGAAGACATCTGAGATGCAAATGATTGAGCCCTCGCGCCTGCTTCTTGTACACTGTCCAGGTCTCCGCTCCATACAGCAGCGTTGGCAAAATGACAGTTTTGTACATCTTGAGCTTAGTGCTGGGGTGGAGACCCTGACGATTCTAGACGATGGAGCCTCGGAGGGGCCACCTCGTTGGCTTTGGTGCTGCCAAAGAGGGTGCTACCCAGGTAGGCGAAGGTGTCTACGGCTTGCAATGAGTAGCCGTTGACGTCGATGTGAGATGCATTGTAGACAACGTTGGGCGGCGGCTGGTGCATGACAACCATAAGTAAATAATTTCTTTCGAGATGTCTCGCTTGTTTCGAAGAGGGTGCTAGCCTCTCCTAGCCCTGCTTCCTCAAGCCGGCTCAACGTGTTAGGTGGCAACGCGAGGGCAGGGGAGACAGCCTACAAATGGTCTCTTCTTTCCGTGCGAGGTGGGACAAAATTGACCCTGTCGGTGGCACTACCCTCATCTGTGTCGGGGTTGGTGTTGCTGGACTTTCAAAACGGTCGTTCCTGTTGAGTCGGACCTAGAAAGAAACCGTACTCACGTGTGGCACGTAGGGACGGGGCAAAGTGCCCGGGCAGTCATCGCGCCCACTCATATCTTCATTTGTCCCGGCCTAGTCCTGTCAATAGGACACGTTTCGAGAGGGTTGCACACTTTTTATGACGTTCTAGTCATTAGAATCTTCACCCACAAGTCACCCCCTACCTCACCGAAATAGTCTTCGTCCTGGTTGAGTATGGACCAACCATCAGTTGATGACGAAATCGCGTTTATATCCGTCGATGGTTGGGTGGTTTTACTGCAAAGTCCCCCTTATTCACATGTCTTGCCCTGCACTACTTCTTGCGTCTGATCGCCATCCGCCCTTCTGTTTACAGATCATCATCACCCATACACCATAATGGAGATGGGCGGTACGCTTGACGTTTACTCGCATATTATCTCTGACAGGATGGCCATTTACCATGTGAACACCGACTTCTCTGTACAGACGCCCGAGGACTACATTGCTCTACCTCAGCCAGTGCGTTACGCCAAGTGCGCAGTTGATCCTGTAAGCTGTCTTGCCCCCTGTCTATACAAGTTGTTTGCGAAACTCGCTGCCCATTTTCTTCCAACTCCTTTACTCCTTTGGGTTTTTGTCACAAACTACTGCCCTTCGCTCCCATATTGGACGCTTTACTTTTGCTCGTTCAGTGTGAAGAGTGCATCTTCTCTCATACATCACTTCCCATCTTCACACTGACCTTGACCTATGATTAATTCAAACAGTCTTCTCCTCCTCTGCCACCAATTATCTTCCTTTTTTATTATATTTTGCCCTCAATTAACAGCCAAGTAAACTGGTCTATATCTTCTGGGAATTGACTGGAGAACTCTCAGTGCTGGACTTCTACCGACAGTCGATGCGTTCCCTCAAACCATTGTCAAGTCTCCCACAGGCCGCTGGAGCGCGCGTACACTGTGGTTGCGCCTGGGTGAACCACCGTCTCTACGTCCTCGGTGGTTTTGGTCACTTTGTGGGTGCGGACAGGCGTCCAACCGCAGCGCGGGACGACTTGCACTGCTACGATCCTCTTACAGATACCTGGTAGGGTACCTCCCACCTCCCTCCATTTTCGCTTTTGCAAGGGCCAGCACTCACAGCATGACGCGGAGGTGCTGCTGTAGTGCCAGTCGCAAACTTATTCCAAGAGCTGGGCACAAAAAGTCATTCAGAAAAGCCGGATTGTAGAGAATTGGTTTGCCCAGTCAGATGTCAGTGAGTAAGTAGAACACACACAATTGTTGAAGTGCTTAAGACAGAATTATGGGAATGCTCCGTAAAAAACCAAACCTCCTCGTAGCAGCGCACCCCTCTGATCTGCGATCTACTCAGATAAGCCACCGCTTTGGGCACAACTGTCGGCAAGTCTCAACGTTTCCACTCCGCCACCGTTAACTCATCTTCCACACGCTCGCTGATTGGTCGATTTAATAATTGGCTCTCAAGCGGCTGCGGTTCCTGTCTGCACTCACCGCCACACTCTTGTATGCTTCCCTTTAACAGGGGGTATCTACTCATCTTTCTCTCTCAAACTTCAGATCTCGAAGCATGGGTTTCGAACAGCCTCTTCCTTTACAAGTTGCCTGAATTAGAAGATCATATATCTTGCGCCTGATTCCAAGGGGGACACCTACTCCCGTGTTTTAACTTCAACTCTAACCTCAACCCTGTGGGGCACGGGAGTATTGCCCTGCGTACTGCAGTTGACCTCGCGTTAAATTTCAGGAAAGCTACTTACTCAAGTGCCCAACTTCAATCCTGACACTAATCCTTACTCTTATGTGATTATATATCGTACTGATAACACTGGTAGTAGCTGTTAGCTAGTACCGGTTATGCCGCAGTAGCTGATAGATTTCAGCTCAAATCTTCATTCCAACCTTTGGACCGTGCCTGAAAATGTCGGTTCCTTAGGATTTACTCCAAGTTCGCGCATTGATTTCCTCAGAAATTAAACAAGGCAATTCTAACTCTCTCAGCCCTAACACTAGCCCTCACAACCCCAGTCCTAACCCGCCTAATCCTAACATTAACCTTAAACTGCCACCCTTAACACTACCCTCATAACTCTGATCCCCCTAACCGTCACACTAGCCCTAACCAACCAGGCAATTTAGGTCAAGGCCATGTGTACTACGGGGGATCCATATTCCCATGTTCAACATCCAACACTAGCACGCCTAGCCATAGCTTTAGCTCCGACACTAACCCGCGTAAACCTTAACCCTAACTCCAATAACCCTAGCCCCTATGAAATTTGGTGCCAAGTCACCTGAAATACGCGGGGATACCTATTCTTGTGCCCTACCATTGATTTCAATTGTTTATTTTTCGTAAAAATGTTAGCTGACTGGATCCCACTTCAAAAATGGTACCAAAACCACTATTTTCATCATGACGGCTTTCCGTTTTTATGTCTTCATTACGTCTTCGCTTGGCTCTTTCTCATTATTTGTAATTTTCTACCTTTTTCTTCCATTCATCCTTAGGTTTTAAGGGGGAGGTTACTTTGTGATAATTTGTTGAATCAGCCCCTATTAATCTGGTCCCCACTTGTTCAAATTTCACTTTGAAACGACTGTTTATATGAATTAGAATTAAGACAGTCCGTAGAAAACTGCCAAACCCAGTAACTTAGCATCTGTAAGCAATGCTTCCGTTGACAGAAGTAGTGTATTCTATTTCCCAGAAATTCCGATTCGGTGACGTAAGCATCTAGATTGAAGGTCGCCGGACTTTTCAGGAATTTTTCACTAGTATTAGGTTCCCTAACTAACTTATTGAGTGGCACATCCGATTGGACGCAAGAACAAAGGCCCTCCGTACTATGGGTGGCCTTGCGCCAAATTCAATGTTGAATACCTATTTTAATGTCCTGACATTGACCCCCAACACCGACTCAACCCTAACACCAATCCTAATCCTCTGTGATATGAAGGAGACCATATTCCTACGCCCTACTACGTATCCTTCCGAAACGGGGGTTGATCGGTCGTCTTTCCCTTCCCTAGGTCTGAAGTACTGCTCAGAGAACAACGGGTGCCCCGAGCCATGTGCCACTGCGTATGCTTGAGAATGTGAGCAGCTGTTGACACAAGCTGAGGAAATGTGAGCAAAACAACCAGACCAAGTAAAGAAAACGATAAATAGATTTTTCGGCGAACGGATAATACGCTGTCTGTACGTGCAGGTGTTTGCCAGCATTTATTATCCGGCTGATGACGCTGGACCTTGGTACCTCATCAATTACTGAAGTCTTTCCTCAAAGTTTGGGCAAGTTACCCCTCTCTTTACCCGCCCCCCCCCCCACCGCACGCTGTGCGCGCGTATCCCCTCTGACCGTCTACCACTGCTGCCTTTCTGTGACTGATAAACAAGCCTGTCGGTACTTTTGTGTCACCCCCGTGTCTGTGTTCGTGGCTTCGCCTCGCTCTAGTCATTCATTTCTTTGGATCCAGTTAATATCTTTCGTCTTCGTCTCTCTTTCTCTCTCTTATGTCCCACCACCGCGGGCATGTCCTTTCAACCGGTCCTTTATACCTACGTCGTTTTCAGTCTCTCTCAACTTACCATAATCACGACACATCGGATCCTGGCGACCATTCATCCTGCTCTTCACGACTTCTTAGTTTACCCTTTTCCACTTACATTTGTTTTTTTGTTTTTCCGCTGTTGCTTTTGCCCATCGTAACAGAACCTATGTTGGCTGATAATTTTCCATTTTCCCTGAACCTTTCCATAGATCCCGTTCACGCATCCATCTTTCCTTCAGACACTTTTTCGCGCTGTAGGCCTCGACGTCCTTTCTGTTGTGTCTGCTGGTGTGTGTGTGTGTGTGTGTGTGTGTGTGTGTGTGTGTGCTGGCCGGAAGTGACTTGTTTACGATCGCGAGACGCGAGCCAACTTATGCGTCACGCATCTCTGCCCTGCCCTGCCTTGTTTGGTTCAGTTCGTCCGTCATGCGCTGAGCATGGGCTCGATATTATTTGGGGCAAATGTTTACGCTCGGTCGTAGAAGGCCATCAGGTCGCCGGAACTTGTGAGTAAGTTACGTTAAATGATTCCAAATTGCCTGGCAGTCTTTGACCGCATCCGTTCCAAGGGAAAGTTAGGGGCAATTTAGAATATTGAGCCCTGAAAACCAGCATTTTCTTTGAGCATCGTTAAGATATTGCACAGTCTACTTCTGGATGTGAATGTTCAGTGTAAGACATGGGCCGCGTTTTCACTCGCTTTGTCTCGTTTGCAAGGTTTCGGTTTTTCTTGCTTTCGCTATCGCAATCGATCCCAAGTTCCTTGGAATCCTTCCCTGTTCGGTTGGAAAAGTAGACGCAGGAGAGGAGACATGTTGGATTGCTAAGTGCATGCGAGCAAATATTGGATAATCCTGTGAGCGAAATAGGTCAGCCTTCTGGGACGCAGAAATACGACCGGAGATAAATAGGATACTTCGAGGAAGTTGGGCCATGCTGGTCTTCACAGTGACCTTAACACCTTATGAAGTGGCTAAGTATTTTGGGCCGGCATGAACTATACTAACTCAACTGCAGAATCCTGCACGTCCTGTAATTGGTAGCAAGTAGTTCGAGCGCATCGACTGCGTAAATGTGAAAGAGTTACTTAATCTACGTCTCCGGGTCCGTTCTCTATGGCATTCATCAGAATTTGCTCATATTGAATGAGTTTTGTACGGCTAAGATTGGGATTTATTGAGCGCCAAAAAGGTGGCTCTTTTAGATCACTCGCGGATTTTGCCTGACGCTTGTATTCTCTGTTCTGAGGTGATCTTACAAGTCTTAAGCAGCAGCACGCGACAGTTCGACCGTCGATTCCGACGATGTCCCTCGTATGTTACACAGCAGCGTGAGAGCAGGCCGGGTGACTTGTGAATCAGTTAAAGCGTTAGTAGGCTTGCGAAGCTTCTACCACACTCTCCTCTCCAGCTTGGGCCCAGTGTCAAGACATAGTCAGGATGACTGCAGTCGGGAATGGGCGTAGGTGGATGTTAAGGCAAAACCCCACACCTAGGCCTACCACCACACCCCCTGGACAACAACAACCACTTGACCAGGGTTTTAATCGACAACAAGAGCGACGGCCGGTCCGGCCGGAGTCGCTCCTAGGGGTGCCGCCACACCTGACTCGGATCCCACAGAATGGGATTGCCGTAGAGGCCACATTAAGAAGGAGCCACTGCAGCATGACACTGGGCTGACTGTGAGGCTCAAGTTTGCCGTCAGTCGGCAACCTTCCAAGCCACGGCTTTTAGCGCACCGTAATAACTTGAAGGGCATCAGACTTATTATAGTGAGGAAGGTGCGCTGAGTCGTCGATCTCACGCTCTATTCCCAGTCCCCAGCCACTTTCCTGGCCGGTTAGCTGTCTCATGCGGGGTATGGCGCAGTAGCTGGCTGAGGTAGGGAGTTCGTCCGCGCGCGCCACATGCACGACATGGCCCCCCGGTGGCATGGGATTTTGGAGGGTGTTTACGTGTTGCATGTATTAATGGGGAATGTGTGGTAATGAGGTCGTTCATGCGGTAGTTTACCGCAGGTTTTTATGACCTACTAGGCCTGTGTGGTGAATGAATGGGCGTGGACAGTTGATGCGGATGCGCCGAGTGTATGTGGATGCCCCAGACACTGGTTTGCCGGTCTCTGGGCGACGGATTCGCGAGTGACCTAGTGGGCCGATGTGCGGGGCAGTGTGGGCAGGGTAGGTCGGGAGTGTCAGATCCGGTTTCAACGGTGCTGGTTGTGCCCGTGGGCGCACTGGGCGACGGGATTGTGATTGAGCCAGGCATGGCGGGTGTGCGAGGCGTGTCGATACTGCGGTGGATTCCGCTGTCGGGGATACGCCTGTGACCGAGTAGGCCCACGCGGTGGATGAATGTGCGTGCACGGTGAACGCGGATGCGGCAAGTGTATGTTGGTGTTTCAGGCACTGGTTCGCCAGTCATAGTGCGATGGATTTGCAAGTGACCGACCAGGTCGATGTGTGAGGTGGATGCGCGACCTCAATGAGGACAGGTTGGGACCGTCCACATCGCTGGAGCTGGCGGTGTTGGTAGTGGTGGTAGTAAAGGATGGGCTGTTGACGGGTGTCAGGAGCCTTTCTGTCGGTGGCGAGGGTGGTAGAGGTGTTTGCGTTCGTTATCGCCGTAGTACTTCTACATAGAAATTGGAGGTGCTGGTGGCGAAGGCAATGCGTTATGGAGATTCGTAACAACAGTGGTGAGGATTGGTGCCATCGTGGCCGCACAACTTACTCAGATGACTGAACGGCTCATGGCGATTCGCGGTTTTTCCATGCCATCATTTTCCGCTCCCACAACATCTTCACTTTCGCAGGCGTCTCCCCTCTCGGACCTGAAATTTGAGATTACAAGGCTTGCCCACGATATAGCTTCTCTACAAGAACAGACGATCTCGTCATCAACCCAGAGCCCGCCGAGGTCATCTACCGGCATGTTCAATCTACTAATCCAGCACCTTCCAACACATCCGCCAACTGCTGGTATCACTTCGCCTCTGGTGGTAAAGTCCGTCGTTGCACCTCCCCCTCACCCTTCATCTCTAAGCAGAGTAAACGGGTAAAATGGGTCAGCCCGAAGGTTAGTGCGACCAATCTTCCTGGCAGCTCTATCCCTAGTCGTATCTTCTACGTCTGTAACAATCGGAGCCGCAGGTAATTTTTGGCCGACACTCGTGCTCAGCTGAGTGTCATCCATATCACAGCATTCGATCGTCGCGCCATAATGCCGGCTCCTTTCTTCAGGCCGTCAACACGTCGCCTACTACCATCTTTGGAACCGGCTCCCTCTCTTTGTACATCTACCCTCGGAGTCTCTTCCCTTGAGTCTTTTTTGTTGCTGACGTTCCCTCTGCCATTGTGGGTGCAGACTTCCTTGCCGCCTTCGATCCTCTGGTCAGTTGCCGTCAGTCCCGTCTTCACGAGCAAACCACCAAGATCAACGCCCGAAGTGTCCCGCCAATTAGCCGTCCTGAGCCCCGACCCAAATAGTCCATTGCATCAACTCCTCGCCAAATACCCCGACCTCTCTCCTTCCAACTTAAGCGCCGCGATTCCACCACCCGGCCTTGCTCATCATAGCGGTACACTGACCCTCCCCCGTGTTTTCTCGGCCCTGCCGTCTCGCGTCTGCACAACCGTCTGCCACCAAGGCCGATTTTAAGCCCATGCCTCAGATGGGCATCATTCGAAAAGTCGTTAGGCTTCGGCCCTCCACGTGGTTCCAAAGACCGCTACTGGTAACTGACACCCCTGTTGTAACTATTGGGCATTGGACAAAGTCACCGTCCCAAACTGCTCCACTGTTGGCATCTTTAGGATTTTGCAGGCGCCATATTCGGCAAATCTCGAAGATCAGCCTTGTTTATGCTTTACACAAAATTTCCATCGCCGACAAGACGGCCTTTGAGCCTGTTTGAGTATTTGTGCATGCCGTTGGGATTCCACAACGCCCCCTTGACCTTCTGGGGGTTCGTGGACCGTGCTTTGCTACCTATCCTTTGTCTACGCACGTATTTATGACTGTCTCTGATGATGAGTTCGAGTGAGGATCCAAAATGTCAGGCCAATAAATTCCTTGTTACAGTGAGCGCACCGTCGTCTTCTATTTACGACCTATTGGTGGCCAGCACCTCTGCGGAAGAACACATGGAGCATCTTGCGATGATGTTTCACAGCCTTCAACAATTAGGCGTTGTCGTCAAATCATACAAGTGCGTCTTCAGTGTGTCCTCCTTCGAATTTCTCGGACATCTGGTTAACTCCAGTAGCATCCATCCTCTTTCATCGGAGGTTGTGGCCACGAGTAATTTCTCACCTCCCTCTTTCAAGCGTCGGCTGCAGAGATCTCTGGACATGGTGAGTTTTTGTCACCAATTCCTCCCGAGCTGTGCGGACACCATTCTGCCGCCACGGGCCTTTTCTCAGATCCCAATGCTTCGTTCGAGCTTTTTGCGGACGCCGTCGCTGCTTTTTGACAATGTAGAGGCCGCGCTTCCTGATGCCGTCTGCTTCCGATGTTCCCATCTCCTTCATGGTCGAAGCTTCCAATGTTGCAGTCAGCGCAGCTCTCCAGCAACAACTCGGGAGCAGACCCATCCCATAGCTTTCTTTTCCGGAAAGTTATCGGCTGCCGAATCGCGCTAACGCACATTTGGACGGAAGCTTTTGGCCTTGATGCACTCCCGACACTTCTTTGAGGACAAGGACTTCACAAGCTCCTTTCCTTTGCATTCATGCCGACATAACTAACCCCGACCCCTGGGAGATCCGGCGACTGGACAATATCTCCCAGTTGCTCACCTCAGATATCGACAGTTCACGGAATGACGTGGTTGACGCACTGTCTACGCACTCAGCTCCCCATCTCCAGCTTTTTCTCGTGACCGACCTCACTTAGATGGCTGTCGAAAAACGTTGTGTTAGTTCTCCCGGTGACGAGGGTATTTTCGGATTCCAACTCCAGGGCCAGACTGAAACTATTGACGAATTTACCATTCTCTGCGATATCTCCACCGTCTCCCACTATCCCTTCGTAACAAGTTCCCTTCTTCCCCTTACAACACCTTCCACTTTGGGAATTGAGCGAATAACAAGCCGGTTTCTGACCACTTTGTTAGGCATGGATGCTCGCGGGCCTCGAGACGCGGGTACGGGCGTGTTTCGGCTGTCAGCACACCAATGCCCCCATAAGCACCTTCTCGATCGTGGCGGAAGGTCTATTCACGTCAACCTTGACCGTGCAGGCTCCCTGCCTCTGTCCACGGCTGTTATTATCTCCTCACCTGCGTGGAAGGCTGCACCTGGTGTCGAAGCTACAAAACTGGTCAAGTCCTGCCTCAGCCGTTCAGTTGCCATCCTCCGTGCCCTCCAGAATCACGGCTGACCGCGGCGCGAATTTAACCTTTCAGTCCCCTCCGATTTTTAGGCTGCACTCACATCCTGACGACAGTCAATCGCCTAACTGCCAACGGGATAGCTGAGCAGTTCCACCTCCAGTTGAAGACCTACGCGTCTTAGAGGATTCTGAGAACAAGACGAACCATCGCCTACCGATCTTGTTTGGTACGCGCTACGCCCTTAAGTCGGAAGTTGCCCCTTCTGCCATTAAACTGGTGTTCGTTGCCACCGTCTGATTCCCGGCGAGAGGATCTCGCCGAACGCTCCGTGGTGCGGTCGAGGATCTTACCTCCAACAATTTGTGCGGCCTCTACCCGGTTCTGCTCAGACTGTCAGACTCCGTGTCTTATCTCGGAAAGTACTTGTCGGAATGCCCTTGCATCTACCTCCGATGTGATCGGTTTATCGGCCGCTGGAAGCATCCTTCGACGGCCCCTTCGGGGTTGTCTCCCGAGAGACGAAGACTTGACTCATCCAGCGCGGAACTCCGGAGAAGTTCGTGAGCGCGAACCTCCTCGAAGGGACTATCCCCTACACTCCGCCGGACGAGCTCTGTAGTCCCATACCCCTGCGACTTCACCTCGCATACGCTCTAGCTCTCCGTTCTGGATACTGTTTCTTTCGCCATGTCCGCTGACTCCAACTGCATCTTCTTAAACGGTGGATACTCGCACACGCACGCGTCTGCAGAGACAGCATGTGGCAGCCGCTTGCTGGAACTCCTTTATGTTTTTTAGCATCAGTAAAGCCTATCCAGCCAAATATGCCTCACTGCTTGTAATTTGGGAACCTTCGTGCTGTCAACCGCTGAAAACTCTCGCTTCTGCCGTCAACATTTGGACAATGTAATATCAAATTTGGTCCTTAAATATCGCCTAGGTCATTCCCCCTGCAAATACCGGCCCGTGAAGTCAACTACTCAGCCGTTCGAGAACCTTGGCCACCACTCTTGAATCAGTTTGATGTCGATGACTGGTCGCCAGAATGCGCGGCAGGTCAGATTTGAGTCCTCAATTTCTACCTCCAAAAACAACTTCTCACACCACCCGCCCACTGACACAACACCAACAGAGGGCGAAAAAATCAATTTGACCTTCCCTAAACTGTATTGTGGAGATGAGCCTTAAGCCGGGTAATTCGACTTAAAGGAAAGTTCGTAATTTGAAAGTCCAATTTCGGCAAACCCTTATATAGAAAAGACTTGAGCGCTGCTGCTATGAGAAACGTTCGATTGAATACGAATAGGGCCCAGAAGAAATATAACAAAGCCACTAGGCATCTAGGTGTGGAGACAGATGATGTATATACAAACGTTTTCAGGCCCAGTGAGGTTGACCTCGAACAATCTTGATAGATCTATAAGAGACAAACCCACTAGTTGGGCACAGCGAGTAGGCTATCCAGGAAACGAAAATAGCAGTATCTCAACAGTTGCAAACTAGTAAATAAGAACAAAGTCGTCAGCAGGTAAAGGTGCACGTGCGTGTTCTTTGTCTTATTCAAAGTTGCGTCAAAGCGTATTGTAACTGATTAAAACAAAACAGATTTAAATGTCACTAGTATACTCCCCCTCCTAGGAGAACGGAGTTCAAAAAAAATTGTTAATAGAAGGAAAATGTGGGAGTGTTATGCATATTGTACAAGTTGGTAACGGTCGGGAAAACGGACATGACGACCGCTGCGCGTAAGGGGAGGAGTCTGTGGGATAAGGGAAGACGCGGGGTTATTGGGCGTAAATGGAGTCTGGGAAATAGCAAGTGGCAATGTGCCAAGTGGGAGTTGTTCGGTTGGAGAAGTTGGAAGAGGCTCGGTATAAGCCGCCTTCAAGCGATCGATTGAGACCACGTCGGTGCGGCCTCCACGGTCAATTGTAAAGTGCTTGTCCTTGCGCGATAGTACGCAAAATGGGCCGTCATAGGGCTGTTGTAGTGGCCGGCGAACGCTATCTACGCGGACAAATACAAAAGAACATGTTAGTAAGTTCGGATCGACGTACGACTTACTTGTTGAAGGACGTGGAGGAGTGGCTCGAAGATGAGTCATGGCTTGGCGCAATCTTTGCACATAATAGCTGGGATCCAAGTCGCCTGAGCTTTGAGAGTGCCCGAAAAAATCCCCGGGAATCCGTAGGGTGGTACCGTAGACAAGTTCGGCAGCGAAACACTCCAAGTCGGGCTTGAGTGCGGTACGGATACCGAGCATGACCAAAGGCAGATGCTCGCTCCAATGGGAAGGGTTGTCATGAGCTCGGAGCGAGGCTTTGAGTTGCCGGTGGAAACGCTCGACTAAGCCGTTGGATGAGGGGTGGTATGCTGTCGTGCGTATGCGAGAACATCCGAGGAGGTTGGTAAGGCTGTTAAAAAGTCTAGACTCGAATTGTTGGCCTCGATCGGTGGTAATAGTTGAGGGGACGCCATAATGAGAGATCCAGTGTTCCAAAAAAGCATGAGCAACGGAATCTGCAGTTATGTTAGGTATGGGAGTTGCAATGGGCCAACGAGTAAATCGGTCAATCGCAGTAAGTAAGTAGTTGCAACCACGAGATGTTGGAAAGGGACCCACCAGATCGATATGAACATGTGAAAAACGTGCGTCGGGTGCGAGAAAAGTGCCAATCGGGGCTTTGTTGTGCCGTCCGACTTTGGCCTTCTGACAGGCCAAACATGAACGGGTCCACTGGCGGATATCAGTGTTCATGCTTGGCCAAACGAACCGCTCGCTAACTAGGCGCTGGGTTGTGCGGATGCCAGGGTGAGCTAGGTTGTGCAACGCGGCAGAAACATCTCGTTTCATCTCGCTTGGCACTACGGGTCAGGAGGCACCGCGCGATACGTCACACAAGATTGTACCGGGGGTGGTGGAAAGAGGAGTGGCTTCGAGTTGAAGACTAGTGTGTTGAAGGCTGTCACTGAAAGTCGGCTGATTTTGCAGTTCTGCCATGCGCTCCAAATCGATGGAAGGGCGGGTGATGGCATTAATGCCAGGCCGAGAAAGACAGTTAGCAACTTGATTATAAAGGCCTTTAAGAAATCGAATGTCGGTGGTATACTGAGAAATAAAATCGAGATGGCGGGCCTCGCGGGGTGAATACTTGTCAGAAGAAGTAGAAAGGGCATAAGTAAGAGGCTTGTGGTCAGTATAAATACAAAAATCTCGGCCCTCAATATAATTACGAAAATGCTTAATGGCTAAATAAATTGCAAGAAGTTCCCTACCAAAAGTGCTATAGCGAGTTTGTGGGGGTGTCAATTTGGCAGAGTAGAAAGCCAAGGGCTGTGTGCCAGTGGGCGTCTGTAGCTGAAGGGCAGCACCTATAGCGAAATTAGAGGCGTCGGCCACAATGGAAAGTGGGGCATCAGGTATAGGGTGAACAAGGACAGTTGTATCCGCAAGAGCCTTCCTCGCACGATTGAAAGCCTCCACAGCTGTGTCGTGAAAAGAAAACTCACGGTTGTTCCCGCGTAAAAGGTTAGTAAGTGGTAGCATTAATTGAGCACAATGAGGGATGAAACGTCGATAGAAATTGACAAGGCCTATAAAACGGCGCAGTTGTTGAAAAGAAGTGGGAGTAGGGAAATCGCGAATAGCTGAAACTTTGGTATCTATGGGATGACAACCAGAAGCATCTACGCGATGTCCTAGGAAAATCAGCGACTGTGCGCCAAAAACGCATTTAGAAACATTAATGAAAACGCCAAATTGGCTCAATCGTTCAAAAATGAGACGCAAATGTTGTAGGTGCTCGTGTTCACTGGAACTTGCTACCAGAACGTCGTCGACGTAGACAAAAACGAACGGTAGATCGCGGAGGGCTTCGTTGATGAAACGTTGAAAAGTTTGGGCGGAGTTGCGTAACCCAAGAGGCATTCTGACAAACTCGAATAGACCGAACGGTGTTGTAATCGCCGTTTTGGGAATGTCTTCTGGAGCAACGGGTATCTGATGGAAGGCTTTGACTAAGTCAATGTTGGAAAATATTGTCGATCCAGCTAGGCTAGAGGAAAAGTCGTGGAGATGGGGAAGTGGATACCTGTCAGGCACAGTGGAGGTGTTTAACCATCGGTAATCCCCGCATGGGCGCCAGTCAACGAGAGACTTTTTGCACACCATATGTAGAGGTGCAGCCCATGGACTATTGGAAGGCCTAACTATGCCTAGCTCCATCATGTGCCTGAATTCAGCCTTGGCTATGGCTAACTTATCGGCGGCTAAACGACGGGGACGGCTAAACACGGGTGGTCCAGTAGTTGAAATATAATGTACAACAGAATGCTTGATAGGTTGGTTAAATTGTGAAGGTCGTGTGATAGATGGAAATTCCGAAAGTAAACGATGATAGGGAGTAGACGAAGGGATTGTTGAAATGCGTGGATTAGGTGATGAAAGGGTACGAGTGGAACAATTACAATGTAAAGAAGTCTTAGGATCAAATAATTTATGGGACTTAATGTCAACGAGGAGACCGAAAACGGATATAAAATCAGCGCCAAGAATGGCAGTATGGACATCAGCGATAGTAAATAGCCAACGAAATGAACGTCTTAGACCCAAATCTAGTGTTAGGGATCGTTGACCAAAAGTTTTAATAGAAGTATTGTTAGCTGCTTGGAGGAAAAATGAAGAATTTGGTGACTTACGGTCAGTCAAGGTGGGTGGGATTAGACTGATCTCCGCACCAGTATCCACGAGAAAATTACGACAGGAAGTCCTGTCATAGATGTGGAGTAAGCGACTGGGAGAGGATGTGCCGACCAGGTTCGTCGCCCTTAGTGGTCGGCAGGGGAGTTTTCCGACGCGGGTGTTTTATACTTGCACGGAGAGTGGCAGCGATGGGCGTTAGAACCATAATTGTGATGATACCAACAGAAACCATCAACTGTAGGTTTGTTTGGAGTGGGAGATCTCGGGCGGCGAGAAATTGCAGGACTACGAGGGTTATGGACGCGAGTAGCCCGGAGCTGGGAAACTTCGAGAGTGAGGGCATCC